TATTCAGCAGACCGTTATAAAATTCAAACTTTAAAACAATATTGTGGTTTCGCTTAGTTTCTTTACGTTTCATGTGATTTGACATCAGTTTATCTTTCTGTTATCAGTTATTGCACCTTACAGAAATTTTGTGAAGCGCTTTGAGACAGTTCAACGTGATAATGTGCTATATCGAATGCAAGGATTATTATTACACACACAAATCTACATGGACAACTCTTGTTTTTATACCCACTCTAGTGAAACAATTTATAATCTGGAGAGTTATAAAGCTTCGCAATTGTTCCTCAGTTAATTGGTACTGCACAGTGTAAATCCCAGCATGACTCTGTGCCTTCTGGAAGGCACTCTTGTGGCAACAATCTAGAAAGGAAATAGAAGGGAAAATTGGAGGCATTATGTGAGCTGGTGTCAAAAATAATCTCTTAATCAAAAATTCAATTTCAAGAATCTTCAGAGGATGGTGCACATAAATCAATTTTTTTTTAGTAAAAAGAACATCTAATGGAACATTATCATGTTTCCCTCATCACCCATCTCAACAGCACTGAATTAAAACAACAACAACTTGGATTTATATAGCGCCCTCCACGCCGTACGACGTCTCAGAACGCTTCACAGTAATGGATCCCGGGGCCGAGCCAGGGGGAGGGGGAGGAAGGTGACCAAAGGTGCGGTCGAAAAGAAATGTCTTCAGCCAAGACCTGAAAATAGGAAGAGAGGAGGGGAGGCGAAGGCAGCGAGGAAGGGAATTCCAGAGCCTCGGGGCATAGTGGCTGAAGGCCCAAGCTGCCGAGGATGGAGCGGAGGATTCGGAGGACAAAGAGGAGGCCAGATCCGGTGGAACAAAGGCAACGGGAACTGTTGTGAGGAGAGAGGAGGTCAGAGAGGTAGAGGGTGCAGAGGAGTGGGGGATTTGAAGACAAGGGTGACGATCTTGAACAATGATTTCCAACTAAGCTACCAATTGAGCATTGTTGCCAGAAGAGTGAACCTACTTTTCAACTTTAGAGGTATTAAGGTTGTAAAGCTATGCAGTTTTAGCTGGTAGACTCCAGCAGTACTCCAATGCACACTCTGGGGTCCCCAAGCCTTGGCTTTTGCCAACCTGAGCTCAATACTTTCCGGAATTGGGTAAGTAGGATGTGTCCCTCCAGACAGAGAGTGCACATTCCATTCCAACAATCTTTCTCTGGAATTTCCATGTGTAGCTGGGAAGCAATGTCTCAGTTTGGTTTGGATACTCTTAAGCATTAGTGATGGGTTTCCAATCCTGTCAACACCCGCCTGACCAAAAAAATTAGTAAAATGAAGTACAAGGACATAGCAGTGTTCTTGCACAATAGAATGGCAGTAAGTAGTGCTGAGGAATAGGAGAAATACTCAGGGTGAGAAATTCTGCTGGTGTTGGAAGCATGCTTTTATAAAAGGGAAACCACAAATCTAAAAAAAATTAATGAACAATGGAATTTCACTCTATGAGTTAACACTCAGGGTGAAGAAAATGCACCAAACCACCGTTAAGGAGAGAATGTGGGACATTCATTAAGCACCAATACTGTAGCCTTCAGGAGCCTCGTCAAAATTAGGAAACCCAGAAATACAGTACATAGAGCTGGACTACAAGCATATCAATCATTAAAAGCTGTCGCCTCCTGATACATTAACAATTGTAATGAATGCAGCCCAAACAATGAGTTATTTGACAATCCACATTTTTCTCCTCCATGGAATTTGTGTATAAATTTATTTTAATGCGATCTGCAGTTTTTTTTATTTCAGACAAGTTATAACTTTAAACTATTGTATTTCACACAATCATCCATTTCTATCCTCTATCCTTTAAAGAGATGAAGACAGATTGGTTTGTTCCTTTCTCCTCCGGCTGACATTTGAGAGCAGTATTGTGAGTCTTTTGTTATTACTTTGAAAGGTTGAAATAGTCTTGCTGGGAAATGTACACATTACTGCTCCTGGATATGCACTTAACTGCACACCAATACCAAGAAGATTGGAGATCATACATCCCATACACAATCAGGATCAACACTTGTACTACCAACTCTTCTGTCATGGAAAAATGCTGTATAACCATGACATAGTTGTGTCAGAAGTATACATTTGGCTATTAAAAGGCCATGTTATATACAGCCTGTGCAGTGACAGGGATCATAGTGCAGATAAAGGCAATCCTACGGCACTTGTACTACATCCCACTTAATAAAGAAGTGGTCACAGGAACTAAGGCTGAATGAAACACGTTCTTTTACTCATTCGCTCGAACAGATTTTGTTCTGCTGTCACAACCTAACAGAAAAATATTTTTAAAAAATGCAAAATTAACTCAGCAACTCAGAAAACAGTCGAATCCTTGCGATATTAACACATTTGAAAGAATAACCTTTTCAGGCAAGTTAATAGCTGCATCAGAACAAGAAAATGATAATTGCACATCAGAATACCAATATCTTGCTGTCACACCTTTCAGTTTGCAGGGACCTGCTTGTTTATTAATTCTCACATGCTGGCATTGGAAGCTTCAAATCTCTGTAAATATTGTTCAATTTAAATAAATAAACTTTCAAATAGAGTACTAAGGCTGCAACATCTTTATCATCTTAAAAAGGAAACACAGAACCTTGCATCTGTGCAAATTGTATTCTAAAATCCAGTTTATTTCATATTAAAAGCAGCAACAGGAATTCATAGCTTTTGATCCTTTAATTAATGATTATATTTTCATCACTTTTATACTGTGGGCTTCTCTTTCATGTTTTCAGCATTTTCAATCTACCTTGATAAGCTAAAGCAAAGCTTGAACACAACAAATGCAGAATTGAAAGGAATATGAAGATGAAATATGTTTTTTACCTGGACTTGTGAAGGTCATGACTCAGATGGGAATCAATAGTGAACTTGAAAAAGAGGGTCTTTCTTCATCAATGACTTGTACTTCCTCGAAAAAGCATCCATCTGAAGTTTTTTTTTCTCTCTCTCGTGCTGAAAAAAATATTCTGCCCCCAAATCTGTTTGTCGAAAGGAGCTAAACATATTCACTGGATACAAATCCAATCTGTTCTACTTCAAAAATAACATTTACTGAGTTCACTGCAATTTACCCATCAGTGGTATCAAAAACCATTATTCAGACAATTTATTTTTGAGGACAGTCAACAGTGATGGAGCAGGATGACAGATAAGTGATAAATCATTTGAGAAATTTCATATACTGAAACTGTCTACAATTTCCATCTATATTCTATATATATGAATCAGTTGCATAATATCCTAGCATTAAAAATATTACAATTATTCTTTGAGCAATTTTGAACCCTCACCTGCTTGTGTAATTTATTTTATGCAGCTGAACAATCAGTTTGCACCAGTCGAGTTTGCCTTACCTATTCGCCTCGAAGTCAGGAAGCTGTGGATTTAGAAAACTTGGAAATCATATAGTCGAACACTCCAATGCAGTGGGTGTTGCATTGTCAGAGGTGCCTTCCTTTGGTTGAGGCGTTAAACCAAGGTCCCCACCTGTCAATTAAGATGGACATTAAAGATCCCATAGCACTGATCTAAAAGAGAAGGGAGTTTCTCCTGGTGTCCTAGCCAATCATTTCCCAAGTAAATAAACTTTGGGAAAAAAAGTTTTAAAAAAACTAAACTCTTAATGTGGATGCAGGTTTTCCTCTGTTACTAAAAAAAAAGTTTCTAATTTTAAAAAAAGTTGTTTCCAATTTTGCAAGATCTTCACATTCAAGACAAAATTAAAAATAATAAATAGTAATAATTTGATCACTCAATCCACGAATGTTTATGGGACACTGCTGTGCGCAATTGGCTGCTGAGTTTTGCCTACAAATATACAGTCAATTCACTTTACAGTATATTCTGTGAAGCGCTTTGAGTCATTTAGAAGATGTGATAAGGCACTATATCAAATGCTATTAAAATGGTTTTACAGACTAAGAATAGGTAGAATTTCAGACCTCTGACGTCTTCCAACTGCTTGGTAATCATGTTTGACCCTTGCATTTATTATAATATCAAACTAGTATATGCTGATTATTGGAACCCAAGTCTACTTCTATCTTCAGATTACTAATAATTTCTGAACAGCTGTTAAATAATTTCATTTAAAAAAGTTTACTGAGAAGTCTAATAGTGTTCACAAAAGTAGCCCAATTTTACAAAGCAAAGGGGGCCCAGTGATAAATTGCACCCTAACAAATTAATACAATATAAAATCAACACACAAATGGGTAATACTACTAACATTTTATATAGCATTTTATCACGCCTTCTAGATTCAAAGCGCTTCACAGAATATATTGTAAAATGAATTGACTGAATATTTTGTGGGCAAAACGCGGTAGCCAATTCCGCACAGCAGTGTCCCACAAGCAGTCGTGGATTGAGTGACCAAATTATTATTATTGCTTTTTTATTACCCCTGGAATAGCAATCCACCAATCGAATAACAAGTGGGTTCCTACTTACTGCTAGATAGAGGCACATGGAATAAGGAAACTTGCCTAAGGTTTTGCCCTGCCCAGAAGTCAAACCCAGGTCTTCTCACTTGCGAGGTGAGTGCTCTAATACCCCACAGGACTCCATATTAAAGCGTCTGTTCAGCGTTACGCGTGTCAACGTCGGCCACTATTGGGAATTCCCATTCTGGTTACACAGGGTAGTGCTGAATAGAACTTTCACCAACAAACAATTCTCCAGTAATATGACCTGTAGCCTCTGACAACAATAGTCACATTTTGCCACGAAAAACCAAAAACAATAATAAATTGGTCATTTTCAATCTACGACTGTTTGTAGGACATTGCTGTGCGCAATTGGCTGCCGTGTTCGCCCACAAATATACAGTCACTTCACTTTACATTGTGTTCTGTGAAGCGCTTTGGGACATCCTCCCGACGTGAAAAGCGCTATATCAAATGCAAGGATTATTATTATTATTATTAAGAACAGTGCCACTCTCAATATTTAAAAAAACTACTTTATTTTTTTCCGTTACATATTGGGAAACGGGGATGTATTACATCACTCATACAGTCAGGCAGAGTTCACTTTATTAGAATTGACCGAAAAGCGATGACTGCGCAAAACTGCTGGCCTAAACGGAACATTGCTGCGTTTTCCAACCCTGACCAGTAGGCATCGCTAGAAAGGAACCTCTTCCTCGACATAAAATACAGCTCTTAGAATATTGCCGATAAGCTTGTGTAAATGCACTGGTCTTCGTCGTAGCAAACGAAAAGTGGTTGATTCGTCCTGTGAAGATTACAATCCATAATTACATCAATATACAACACACTTTTCCTTGCTATCAGTGGCAACTCCATGTTGTATATACTGTACTGTACAGGCAAAAAAAAACTACCAATGAAAGTAAATTTAATGTGGTTTGAATTTATGGAGGTACAGAAACCATACTGCACTTATTTACACACATTATGCAATGATAGGGGAAAAAAAAGATTTGGTCAAATACTGCAGACACAGAGGTGATTTCCTGCCCATTACAGTTTGAAGTTTGATGTTGAAATATTTTTCTGCCTTGTTTTCCAGTCTTTTTAACCCACACGTGAAGAGGTGCTCATACAACACATATATATATATTTTAAAATTTAATACATTGCATGAGACGTAATCCGGTTCTTGAGGTTGTCAATCAAAAAGATATCAAGAATATCCAGCGTAAGATGATCTTGAAACTAAAAACACTGTATAAAACAGATGATAAATGCTACACAATCTTGGAAATCCCAGTGATGTCTTTAAACGGAACAGATCGCTGAGCACAGGATGGAAAACGGAATGAGATGCTTTGTAGAACAGCTGGTTTGTTCAAAACGCAGGCACTTCAAGGGGTTTATGGGAAAAGTACCTGACCCATCTCCAACATGAAGCCTCTGAACAGCTGTGATTACAATACGGAAGGAATGTTCCACACAAACAACTGCACAGTTTGGATACCACAGCAATTAAATGCAAAAGGCAACATTATCTGACCCATTTATTTCACATTCTTACTTTAGCTTTCCATCAAAACATTATTTTATAAGTTAGGCATGGGACTTCCAAGTCATCTGGCAAACAGAGGATGCATTCATTAAAAAGTGTCCAGAACTCGACAGAACCCAGTTAGGCCAAAACATTTGGTCTGTTGATTAATTTCTTCCAGATACCTTTTGTATTGTTATCACCTTCAAAGCTTTTACTTCACATCCACATGCCTCACCCCATAATACATTCCAATCGTGTGACTAGACCATCCTGCACCCCCCGCCCCCCATCCCTGCACTCCACTAACTCTCAGGACATTCAGCATCAACCTGTCCAAACAATACATCAGGAAGCACGGTTTACTTTTTACAAACATGTCATAATACATTAAGCACATGCTGCCCTTTCTACTACATTGTTTCTCCGTTGGGAGGTAAAATAAAGCAGGTATTGTTTTCACACTTGAACGTCTACAGCTGTCTCGTGCTGTGTATATTGTAATCGTGCAGCAGCCTTGAACGACCACCTGCTGAATCCATCCAATTCCTTCCACAGTACCTCTGGACAGTGACTTCTTCAAAGACGGGTAAAGACAACAGTAACATTTAATACTGAAAATCAGTGCAGATGTTTTCCAATCAAGACAAATGAAGGGTTAAAGTAGAATTCAGGGTATAATGTTTTGTGTGTTTGTTTAAAAAAAAGTTTCTTCATTTGTTAGGACTTCGATTAATGTTTTCTGGGGCCTTCCACTTGACAGAAGACCTGCCTTTGCAACTACTACAGATCTGTTTACCACAACTCCAGGGTAGACTAAATTAATTTCTGACTTGCCACAGTCGATCTTGATCTCATCACCAAGCACCGTACAACATTTATGCCCTCCACATGCTGGAACCAGACTGACCCTTCCTTTTTTGCTGAAAATAGCAACTTGATTTTGGTTGAAGTAATTCTTAAAGAGTTTCTGTTTCGTAAATTATCCAACGAGAGAGAGGTCCTTCGGTCAACTTCAAAACATGAACATACAGATTTCTGATGAAGCATAAAGTTTCCAAGATGAAGACTGATGAAATAAAAACAAATTACCCACATAAGACAACTACCCAAATCACTGGGCAAAAAACAGAAGGAAAGTCCTTTGAGAAAGTCTGTTGTCACTGCAGAGATGATTGGTTTCTTGTTTATGAGACAGCAGATGAACAAGTAAGTAACTCTCCATGATCAGACTTTTTCCAGAGTCATTTGTGGCGCTGAATAGTTTTCCTTTTTCTCCGCTTGAAGAAGCAGCAGCACCTGTATTGTTTGAGGGAAGCGGTCTTAGTGATTAACAAACTCCAATTGGCTTGCACCACAATTTACATTGAACACTCCCATGCACATTACACACACACAAACAAATAAGTGTTACATGCAAAGTTATTAAATGTTTTAAATCAGACTTGCACACACAGCAAACCTAGTGATATTATTACCTAACCAAGTGATGATCAAAGCTGGGATTTAGCAGAAGGTTCATATATTAGTGTTAGCAAAAGTATATATATATATTTGCACCTCCAATACAGTATTGAGAGTCAGAAGCACAGGAGGCAGCCAGAGACAGAACAGTGAAAACAACAACAACAAATTGCAATTATATAGCGGACTTCATGTCAGGAGGATGTTCCAAGGCGATGGACAGTCAAGGGTTTGTACCTGAGTTGGGGGTTGGATTTCAGAGGGATGGAGGTGGAAAGATGACCAAAGGTGCAGTTAAAGAGGAAGGTCTTGAGACGGACCTTGAAGAAGGCGAGGGAAAGGGCAAGGTGAACGGACAACGGGATGGAGTTCCAGAGAGTGGGGCAGAAAGGCTGAAGGCCTGACTGCCGATGGTGAGGTAGGCAGAGCGGGGAACATAAAGCAGGCCAGTGTCCACCAAGCGGAGGGAGTGGGCGGGTTGGTAAGCTTTTAGAAGGTCACAGGGGTAACGTTTGGCAAGACATGGAGGGATTTAAATGTGTGGATGAGAAATTTGAACTCAATCCTCTGGAGGATGGGGAGGGGAGCCAGTGGAGCCGGGCAAGGACAGGGGTGATAGGTTCACCGAGACTGATGCAGGCGAGGTCACGAGCTGCAGATTTCTGGATCATCTGAAGTTTGAGGAGGGAAGAGTTGGAAAGTCTGACGTGCAGTGAGTTGGCGTAATCGAGCCTGGCTTGGTAAAAGCATGGATGAGGGTTCGGCAGCCCGAGGGGAGAAGTAGTGGTGGAGACGGGTAATGCTGTGGAGGTGGGGGAAAGCTGAACGGGTTAAAGCACGGATGTGGAGTTTGAGGAACAGCTGAGAGTCGAACAAGACACCAAGATTCCGTACTGGCTCGGTGAGGTGTAATGTATATCCACGTAATGATGCTGTTAGCACCTGAGAAGGTGCTGATGTACGCATAATTTACTAATAGAGGTAGAGCGAGAGAGACTGACTAATACGGAGTATCCACACAAGTTCTGGAAAGCTACCCATTAAACCAGTTAAAGCTCCACTGATGGCCAAGTGAGTAAAGACACTTACTCCTTGTGTAAGCGCTAAACCAGATAGATCAAAAAATGTCAGGTTCAAATCCAAATCACTTCATGTAAAGAGGTAGCCTGCTAAGGCTTACACCCGAGTACCCGAGTACAAGGTGTAGGAGGATGCAATTATGATCTTCTCCCACTGCAATTGGTTCCCAATCTGAGCCATGTAAGTTGCTCTTCCTGGAAGATGCTGGGCATAGACTGTGGAAGGAAAATTGGACAAGGGTATCCTGCAAGTCTTGTGCTCCTCGGGAGTCTAGAGAAGGCCACACATTTCTATTCTCTCAGCAGCAGAGGTGCAGGTTAGAGAGGACTTAAGAGAAAACTATTTACTTGCGCGAAGAGTGAGCACATAAATAAACAGAATCTAATGGCGAGACTTGCTCTCTAGCCTTCATAACACCTTGAAATACTTCATTGTCTCAGCAACTTTAACAAAGGTCTAAGTTCTTATGCAGCTTACATTATGGGAATATTCACACATGTGTAGTTAGACTAAATAAAAAGTGACAAGTGCTTTGAAATAATTTGGAAAAGACACCAAAGTTCCCAGAAGCTATTTCAGGTCTTGGAAATTTATAGACTTGAAGTGAGTCTTTAAAACAAAAGTATTTTTGTTATAATAATTATAATCCTTCCATTTGATTTAGCCCCTTATCACATCTTCGAGATGCCTCACACTGCTTCACAGAATATACTGTAAAATTAATTGACTATTTTGTGGGCGAAAAGCGGTAGCCACTTGCGCCTAGCAGCGTCCCACAAACATTGAGTGACCAAATCTTTTTTTTGAGGGATTATGACCCCCGACTAATCGACTAACAACTGGGTTTCTACTTACTACCTACAGAGGTGTGTGGAGTAAGGAAACTTGCCTAACGGTTCGCCCTGCTCGGAAATCGAACCCAGGTTCTCTCGCTTGCGAGGGGAGTGCTCTAACTAACAACAACAACACAAGATCCCAAGGCGCTGGACAGTTGGGTCAGGACCCGAGCAGGGGGGAAATGGTCAGGGTGAGGGGAGGGAAGGGAGGGAGCGAGGAGGGGGGAAATGGTCAGGGTGAGGGGAGGGAGCGAGGAGGGGGTAGAGAGTCGAGAGGGGAGCTGAAGGCACGGTCAAAGAGAAAGGTCTTGAGACCGGCCTTGAAGGAGGAAAGGGAGGAGGCGGCGAAGGCACTGGGGGATAGAGTTCCAAAGCCTAGGGACTGAGAGGCTGAAGGCCCGGCAACCGATGGTAGGGCGGTTGGGGCGGGGGATGTGGAGCAGACTGGAGCCAGAGGAACGGAGGGTACGAGCAGGTAGGTAGGGGGATAGTAGGTCGGAGAGGTAGGAGGGAGCAAGGCCGTGAATGGCCTTGTAGGCGAGGATGAGGATCTTGAATTCGATCCTCTGGGGGATGGGGAGCCAGTGGAGGCGAGCGAGGGTGGGAGTGATGTGGTCACGAAGCCTGGTGCGGGACAGTACATGAGCTGCAGAGTTCTGAGGGGTGAGGTAGTGCCGTAGTCTGGCGATGTTTCGGAGGTGATGGAAGGCGGTGCCAGTTGTGGCGCGGATATGAGGAAGAAAGAACAGCTCATGGTCGAACAGAACACCGAGGTTCCTGACGGCTTTGAGAGGAACTAATACCTTACAGGACTTGTTATTGTGTTCTCGGCATTCAGTGGACTTGAATGCAAATAATGCTGTCATACTTCAAACGTTTCCCACAAAATGGACGTTCACTGGAATTTAGAGTATATCCTATGAAGCACTTTGGGACGCCTTCCTGACATGAAAGGTGATGTACCAAATGTAACAATTATTAGTATTGTTACTTTTTTTTAATCAAAAGGTTGGCGATATTAAAATGTTAATGTGAGGTCAGTTCGGTTAGTGAAATATCAATTATAACGTGTGTTCATTTACAAGATCAGTTTCACCCACTGATAAATAATTCATCGAGTTTCAGCCAAATTTATTTAGGGCAATACATGCTTTTATACATGGATTAAGAAATGCTCTGTAACCAATATTTTCATTTTCTATGGTAGCCTACAAGCCACTCACAAATTTACTTTGTAGAATAATTCATGGTGAAGCTAATTGATAGATCTAAACAATTTTAGACTATTCATTCATGCATGCACCATGGTACATCTGTATTTAAAGCCATACAGATGTTTATGGCATATCTGTACTGTTTGTGTGCAAGTTCTGCATTTCTCTTCTCTGCGATTTTAAAATTAGCTATCAAAACATAATGAAGCTAACCAAGTGAAGAGCAAGTTGGTGTGTGGTGCATGTGTGAGGGGGCCAGCAAGAGATCATGAGGGAGAACAAAATAGCAAGCATGAGAGTACGATGAACATGAGAGAACAAGAAATGGAGAGAGAATGTGAAAGCAAGAATGACAAAAGGAGATCCAGTGAGGGTAAAAGGGAGAGAGCTTAAGGGAGAGACAGTGAGTAAGCCTGAGAGAGTGAACTAGAGCATGAGCAAGTGAGCAAACAAAAAGTGATCCAGCGAACGAGAACGTTAGAGAGAGAACGTTGAACGAGTAAGCAAGAAAAAAAGGAATGCATATGAGGGAAAAAATGAATGAGTAAGCGCGAGAGAAAGGGAGAGAGGGAGAGAGAGAGAGAAAGCATAAGAGGGTGAGCCAGCAAGTTAAGGGTGTTGAGAGACAGCGAGACAGAAATGTGAAAGTGGCATAATCACATATACCAGATTTAGGAAATGGTGTATAACAGAACATGATGATCCATATGCTCAAACTTGATCTATTTTAAACAAGCATTTCCAAGTTACTGAAGTGAAAACTACTTATAAAGACATCAGCAGAATAAGAATCTTAGGTACTGCTTCCAGCAGTGAGATGGAAGGCTACAGGGGATATTCTCTGAAATAGCAAGAAATGTCACCTCAATCTTGTGCTGCTTATGATAATGAAAGTGCTCACTAAAGTCATGAGTAAAGTTAATAAAAAAAACTTCTGTGTTTGGGAAGCAAGTTAAAATCCATTGGTTTCAAGCTATGCTGTTGGGCTTCAAGCAATTAAAATGAGTATTTTGCAGAGAATTAGTGATTTGGAACAACCCTGCAAAGCTTGCTAATGCGGCATATATCCACTTTAATGTGACCATTTACTAAATTGATGTATCAGGCAATTTCATGATGAATCACGCATCACATTAGAACAAGTTCATAAAGCAATTAATGCCTTATATTGCTGGAATTTAATTTCTAAATTCCTAGTACTGTCCTGCTTTTAATCCATGGAAGATTAATAGCTCGATAATTGGAACACAAACTACATATTAAGAGTACAGCTACAAATTTGCACTGTCTGTAAGTTACTGCTCAGCGAACAACCTACAATGTAACTGCTCAATTTACATGATGTTAAGAACCAACCATTGAGTTGCCTCAACATTAGACTAAAGGGGCTGCTCTTATGTTTATAAAAGCTCACTTAAAATATTTGAAATAGTCAAAATAATAACCATTTACGACCAACATGCAGCATCACAGGTCTTGTATACCACACGCTTGACCTGCATTGGGACATTGAAGAGGGATGAGCATGACCAGAGTGCCCTTCGCCTCTTCTCAGCGCGGGCCTTCAGGACAGCGTTCGGGGCTGAAGTTGGTGTCTGCCATGATCCCGAGGTACTGATAAGAGTGAACGATTGGGACTGATGCCCCTTGTATCATCCAATCAATTCCCTCAATATCTTCCCTTGGGCCGTGCAGAACCATGATTCTGCACTTGGGGGCTCCTACCATCATGTCCCACCAGATGGCCCAGTATTCAAGATGGTGGGTGCAGCACAGAAGGTCCTCAGGTGAATCCACCAGCAGCACAAGTAAGAATATTAAGGGATACGAAGGAACGGTGGAAAAATAGAATTAAGAAGATCCCATAGACTTAATGGGAGGCTAGGTGGCCTCCAAAGCCTATTCCAGCCCTAAAATAAGCACATCAATAAGCTTGGAACAAGTCATTTGTTCTAGGAATGAAATTCAGTAAGAAGCAAATACGATATTCCACACCAGCTATACCTAAAATATCTTTAACATAAGTAGGAAATAAGCTGTAACAATGCTCAATAACTGACAATACTGTAAGGTGCAAAGGGAAGCAAAAAAAAGTGCCACAGTGGTCATGCTATGAAGACAGAAGTGTATGAGTATTGTCAGGGCACAACAGAAACATAAAAAAGTTGAGGGATCCCAACTATTCAGAATCTCTGAAGATGTTCTCATCTGGCACTTCAACCAATCAGCTACTAAAAATAATTACCATTTTTGAGTGCCAAAACAAGTTGGGAACCCTAAATTAGTGCAGAGCAAATGAAAAGCAAAATTGCATGAAAACTGAACCATACTTTAGTCTGGAGAACATATCAAGTAAAGCCTCAATAAGAGCGAAAGGCAGAAGAGTTTAAAAGCAAGCAGAATAGGTCAACAACAAGGTGCCACAGGTCGTTATGCTCCCAATTCATACAATCCAACAATGTGTCCATGGAACTGTAAATAATCTCATCATAGTTTTTTTTGTTGTTGTCCGAGAGACATCAATTTTATTTGTGTACAATATTCATCCAATTGTCACACAACACTTTCAGCCCTTCAATTTAACTCTGGGAGCAGAGCAACCAGGGCAGCCCTCATAGGCTGAACCTATTCCTGCCAGCCTTGCAGACTGAAACCACTCACCACATGTTCAAAACTTTCTGGCAGCTATACAAAATGAAAGAGGGGCAGGGGGAGGAGAAAAACACACAGAAACAAAAAAAGATCAGAACCACAGCCCACAGTAAGAAATCTCTCAAAAAGCTCTCCTGGGCAAGAAGCAATTCTACACAAGCAACAAGCAGCAGCGACTGAAGTAATTCATTTTCAAGGAAAAAAAACAGTTAACTAGGAATAATTTGCAGAGCTTATTTTAAACGGCGTTGGGAAGGGAGGCAGAAAAAACACCTTCACAAATACTTTCATCTTCACACAATACAATTCGTTGTCAAATAAATTTTTCTGTTGTATTACTTATTCTGAGTTGCAATATTCAGTTTCAAAATCGCTGAATTCAAAACAATGGGACAATGATATTTAATCCTTTTCTTTCTTTACCCTGCTATCGACACTCCCACCCCCTCTCGGCCCCCTGCTTTCGCCATTTGACTGCATTCTCGTGAAGTAGGAAATATTTAAAACAAGCAAAGATAAATACAAATATAAGCAAAGATTGGAAAACACCTTAAATGTAATTTTGTTGTCTTTTTTAAAAATAATTTAAACGGCTCTTTTCCACAGCCTCTACTAAATAAGGAACAGTAGAAAAAAACTGAACAATAATAATCCTTACATTTGATATAGCGCCTTGGAGACGTCTCAAAGCGCTTCACAAAATATTCTGTAAAGTGAACTGACTGTATATTTTGTGGGAGAAACGCGACAGCCAATTGCACACAGCACTGTCCCACAAACAGTCGTGGATTAAAGTGACCAATTTGTTTTAAAAGTAATTATTACTTCTGGAAAAGCAATCTGCCAATCGACTAACAACCGGGTTCCTACTTACTGCTAGGTAAACAGAGGCGGGTGCAGTAAGGAAACTTGCCCAGCATTTTGCACTGCCGGGAATCGAACCCAGGTCTCTCACTTGAGGCGAGTGCTCTAACCCCTGAGCTACAGGACTCCACTAACAATATAAATAACAATATAAAAGATATTAGGAAGGCTTTGGGGAAGAATAAGATATTTTTGTGACATGTCCAATAAGGATTTTGAACCGAAAACAATTTCACGGTGAGTAAAGCATGTACGTACTTTGTTTCATCCATAACTTCCACTTCAGCTGGGGCTGTGATGGGTGCATTGGAGTGTCCTGCTGTTGGGTCGTCTGTATTCAGTTCTCCATTCGTGGAACTAACCACCTGTGAGACAAGTGTGAATTATCAAAATATAGAAAAAAAACACATTTTCTAAAACAGATTCTTTCCTAGCCACACACATGAAACAAAGACAAAAAAAAGAAAATTTAAATTTTGAGTTGTAATTCATATTTCAATATCCATTTATGCTTAAACATTGAATGCATGCACACCTTCAATTTTATTGCCAAATTTATGCTGATTCACCCTCCCCTCACAAACCAAGTTCATCTCAATCACCAGATTCCTGCTTTACCTATTGAATTCTTAACATAGATTCATGCTGTTGAAGGTAGAAAGAAGGAAGCACCAGATTAACAATAAAATGTAACACAGCCATTTAAAATGTTGAACTTTTCATGTTGAGTTTTGAACTTAGCAGTTATCAGGGGTTGGAATGTATGCTGTTGCTTAGAGATTCCACAAGCCAACAACAAAAAAAGCTAATTTTGTTTAGCAGATGGCATTGTTTCTGTATATATTAGATATGTCAAGGTTTGCTTAGATCCAAGAATTTTTGGAGGAAAAAACAAGTGCGTCATTGAGATTTAGCTGGCACGAGTGATGCCCAGAAACAAAGGTTTAACATCTGTTCTTATTTGAACTTTCAGTTACACTAGAAAGAAAAGTACTTTGGTTAAAGTTGCTGATTCCCCTCTATGTGTAAAAAACCTTCCTGATGTCTGCCATAAAAAAATTACTTCATTGTGCCCTCTGTCTTGTGCATCGGAAAACATTTTTCTGGCTTTATCTCATTCATTATATATGTAATATATATAATGTATATAAATAATATAATAAAAGTTTCCTCTGGAGGAAACATTTCATGGCTGAAGAGCCTAAACTTATCTAATCATTCCTCAAAGTCCATCCCTCTAACATTGGGGATCAGCCTTGTTGATCTCCTTTGTACTGCTGCTGGGATCTGGACAGCCCCCTTATATTGTGTCGACCAGGACAATTTGCCTCACCAAACTCTGGCTTGAGCAGTACTGTTGGTGATCTGAACTTCACTGATTTGGTAATGTAGCTCAGCATCCTACTTTACTTGTTTATTGATGCCTTACACTGTTTGGATGTGCTAGTAATGAGCGTAAACACCACTGCCATTTGACCTCAGAATCATTAACTGACCGCACACAAGTGTGTGCTCACTTATTTTACTGCAGCCTAAATTCTAAATGAGATTGGCTTTTATTTTATTTTGCAGGGTTGGACTGGGAGGGGGGGGGGTAGAAAGGAAAATATATTCTTCCAGCCTTTGCTAATCTTATTTTTAAATTATTAATAATTTGCAGTCAAGTAGATTCAGGAAGGGAAAGGAAGAAAATAGCATCTCTAGAGAACCAGACAGTCACTGCCACGTGAATAAGAATCAGACCAAGTCGGTAGTTTAATTTTATCAGTTACAAAGTCAGAGCCCTCAAAGTAAGCATTTTGATAGAGCAACATATCAAACCCACTTTACATTTATAAGATAACTAATTTTTTTCCTAATGAAACAATATAATGTATAAATGAGTAAATTTGTACTCCTGTGGGTGGGTAGGTGATGGGAATGAGAGAGAATGTATGGACTTGCACCACCGTGGGAGAGGGATTTAATTTGAACAGAAGCAGTGATTCCACCAGTCATCGGAATTCAAGACTTGCACCAAGAAAGGACAGCAATTTATTTCTAAAAATTCTACTGCCAGAAATTCTGTGGTGCTTGTGCATCAGCAGACTTATTAGATTGTGAATTAAAGATCAGAGAACTGGAAGAACCAGTAGTTGAAAATAGCCGAGGTGCAGATAGTCTCAAACATTTTTTTTGTAGTGTTTGGCAACTATTTTTTCCCCTTCCCTCCCTGAATCTACTTAACACTGGCCTGCTCCACATCCCCCACCCTACCTGGCTTCAGCCCATAGGACATCCTCTTGATGCGAAAGGCACTATACATATGTGATTTGTTGTTGTTGCTTTTAATGTCCTCCAAACCCCTCAATGGTAATTTTCATTGTAATCGTTTAATAAAAACTGTACAACAGTGCTACGGCTGACAGTCTGTTGGCAGCAGAAGGCAAGATTTTCCTTTCTGGCAGTTTGATGCTGACAGTCAGGATGCATCATAGCATGCTCGGCGAAAGATTAGGTTTGTGATCTAATCACAGCAAAGATTACCAGAATTTAATTGGTTGCATGGATTATAGAGAAATAATGCTCCCATCTTTATGTAACCATTGTTGGCATGTCACATCCATTGGCAGGGAGAAAGCACAGCCACAATTATCAAGCATAACTCTATTACATAGACAGTGGAAAAATGTGTGGAAGTGAATACTATACAATAATCTCATCGTTTGCGGGATAAAAAAAATCAACACATTCAGAATCGCTTGATGGGATTCTGCCTTTGTAATCAGACCCAGACATCTGGTAAACCCTCTATATAAAAGAGTTAACAACTGAAGCATATTCAATAGGGAGAAACATTTGATCTCACAAACCTATTCCTTTATAAATTTATTTCAACCCCATCTACTCATTTAGTCACCGTATCCCTCAATTCGCTCCCTCTCAGGAAATGCGTCCAGTTGTTGAACCTATTTATTAATGGCCTGTATTGGGGTCGTGTTAATCAAAGTCACCTCAGTTGCTCAATTCTGTCTCCTTTCATGGCAACAATATCCTTCCTTTGATTCAGCGCAATGCTGGAAAGACATTAAATACCAACCTTTTGTATGATGCAGTAGATTAACAAATGGCAACCATACATTTAGGTGGACTGGGCACAATCTGATATGAATAGCAAGCTGTGCAGTTTCAGCTGGTGAGACTCCAGCAATACCTCAACACACACTGTGGGGTCCTGTGCCTAATATTTTGCGGAATTAGGCAATCAGGTTGTGGCCCTCCAGGGAGAGAATGCGCATTCCATTCCAGCAATCTATCTCTGGGATCTCCATGCACAGGTGGGATGCATGGAAATCTAGCCACTGTGGACCATGAATATACAGCACTCCAGAGTGACAGGACACAGAATCCGATCCCTTCCTCTACTAGTCTGTCTCCCAATCAATTCCACTGTGAACAGTGGCGACCAGGAGTAAAGCAACTCTTGCTGGACAGCTGCCTGAACGCAGAACTAGAGAAGGCCTCAGAGCAGCAGGTTATTCACTCTTTTTTCTCCTGCCCCCTCCCTCCAGACTATGACTTTCCTCTCCTCCAAAATAATACACAAATGAAAGTAATTCAATTGAAGGCTTATTTTTTTCAAAAAAATAGACACAACAATCAACATGACTGACTGAGGTGGGAGCAGCTCGTTCTCTGGGGAAAGATTGACAGAAAATAGCAGAGATGCAGAAACCACACAGATACAATAGCAAAGTCACAATTAACAGCTTTCATTTTCTGGCTGTGGAACTTCCACTGTTTGCTTTACAGAGATTTGGAGCATTGCAAAAAGAATCCTTCAACAAACTCGATGAATAAATACATGAGGGAGAAGATAATAAAGCGGGTATGGGATAGGGGATTAGGAGAGGTGGAGACTGGGACACACTAGTTGATTCAAATGGCCAACTTCCATATTACACAGCACATGCAATTCTACTCACGTAATGCAATAAAATGGGAAATGCTTAATTTCAGATTGGTTATGTTAACAGTGAAGATCATCACACAACATATTTTTTGTGTTGTATGCAGCTAATTCTCTGTATCCTCTGCCACCCCGTACCCTCACTCGCACAAAACTCCGCACAACCATAACTCCAACCCTTGCCAAGCTCCCCTGGCTCCGTATCCCAATGGATCAACTTCAAATTCCTCATCCTCACTTACAAATCCTTTATCGGCCTACCCAAGCAGCTCCCTCTCTCTGATCTTCTCGTACCCCATGACTCTGCTCACACCCTCCACTTGATTAACTCGAGCTTGCTGTGCTTTCTCCCCTCGCCACCATCAGTGGCTGAGCCTTCAGTCACTAGTCTCCTAACCTCTAGAACTCCCTCCCTCTACAAACCCACCTGTCTTTAAATCCCATCTTAAAATCTACCTCTTCTAAATGCAAGGCATTTTTAAAGAATGCTCTAGGATAAAGCTTTTGTTCTAGAGTTCATTATACCAAATGATAATCAAATGATACAGACTTACTCCATCACCTAGTCTGAGCTCAAAATTGGTGCCACAGCCCCACTCTTCCTCTCACCACCGTCCACCACAAAATTTTACATAGAAGCCCCCCAATGCTCATTGTGCCAGCCTCCCAGTGTGCACAGCAAGCATTTTACAAGCAAACGATAGCAGAGGGCTTATTCTCTACTTTTGTTTAATATAGCATTGGTTTAGATAGAGGAGGCAGCGTGTCTAGCAGGGATTTAATGTGCTGCCATGGCAAGCATTCAATTGTACTGATGCTAAGCAGAGGGATAAGTATGGGAGCTGCCCAGAAACAGTGTCTTCATTACTAAATGGTGGAGAACACATAATGTAGCACAATGGGTCTTTAGTAGGCGGCAAATGAATTACTAATGGAAGTATGTATATAACTATGAGATTGCCAGTATCTTTCTGAAGGAGAAAAAAGGGGATAATTTCCCAGTGAAGAAAATAGGAAAAAAGCAAACAAGGTGACAGAACAGTTTTACATCACCAGCGAGGTTGAAAGAAGCCCTTTTTAAAAAATAAACAGCATTTTGAAACCTGACTCTTAAGGAAAGTAAAGCAACACATAAGTAAACAGAAATACAGAACATATTTCCCACCTGTACTCAAGTTAAATATTAATATATTTGACGCTATGAATTCTGAAGAGCAACTGTTAAGATTAAACATATAGTGAGGTTGGGAAACTGAGAGATGTTTCTTCAATCTAACAATGCTGTACACTGCTCTATGTTGATCTTAGTTATGTAAATTTACTTTTGTAGCGATCTACTTCAATTGGAAGGCAAGTTCCACTAATCCAGAAAAATGCTGGTGGAATAATATAAGGTAAAGCTATTTGTATATGCAATGAACTGTCTTCAAATTTGTCCTGGCAGAATCAACTCCAATCAAGCTGACTTTTACAGTTAGAAGTCAGACATAAAAGGCCGTGCACTGAATTATTTTTAGTGGGCATTCCATCCATATCCTCATATATCTGACAAACACACAAGTTAACAAGAGCATGTGAGGTGAAAGACAACCTCAGGACATTTGACAACTGCAGCAGTAATTACAGTGCAGCTGTTATAGCAGGGTTCCCCTGTAATTGGGCTGCTCTTCATATCAAGATGAGTTCAACAAGGACTAACAAATTCCTTGAATTTTCTTCCTTTAATAATTATTGTTCTTCAGTCAATAAAGAACAACAAATGACTTTCTTGATGGCTCTTTGGTAAAGCCACCACCTAGAGTGAAACTGAGATAAAGAAGAGTACAAAAAAGTCGTTTGGAAGGAATAACAGAGCATCATCAGGAACCATGGAACTATAACTCAGTATAAACTGGCTTCAGGGGAGAAGGGAAAGGAATCGGGGGTGGGGGGGAGGTTAAGAGAGGTAGGGAAATCCAAAGACAGGAATTGGAGCTTTTAAGACACCAGAGCAGGTGCTGGCACGTACTGACTTTGGTCGGCTAGAATTCTTGTTCTTTTGAGTCATGATGTAAGGTTTTGTGTTGTTAATTCCCTGTCACTCTCTGGTTTTCAACATTTCTGGTTAAGTGATGACTTAAAACAATACATTAGGGTCTTCAAATCAATACGAAAGCCTTTTATTCCACTCCAAAGTGGCATAAAATCTTTCGCGGTGGCCTCCGGTCTATATGAAGTCATTTTCTGTCAAGGGTAAATCAGAGTGGTGTTGCAAAGAAGAACAAACTGCACTTTCAATCTAGTCCAAATTGGTCCTTAGATTTTGAAGATAGTCAGATACACAGAGCAAGGGAAAAAATCTTGTTACAAAATGATGATGTGATTAGAAGCAGGAATGCAATTTGAAATGGATTAACCTGCGTCATCAATAGAAGGCACAAGACTATTGTGCCCTACAGGTCACCAGCATCTGAACATGTGAATATTGAAGTTTAAACTGAGTGTTTTAGGAAAGGAGAACTGAGATGTGTTCCACAGCTCATTTTCTTAACCTACTAAAACCCAAATTTCATTCCTCAAACAATTTCACTAGACATTTTTCATGCCTTACCAATCAATCTTTAACCTGGCCTCGGTATAATGTCATTACAATCCCCTAGTAAAAACCCTCTCAGGTTAAATATTCATGGAATTGTGATACAGAAAACATTTTTTTTCATATCAAATGCATCTTCGGGAGGAGGGTCAGGCAAGGAAACTGCAGTTCAGTTCCGTCAACACCTAGATCTCCATATCACTGCTATTTCTGCATGCCATATTCAATAGGCACATGCACCACATTTGAAGGACATGCATTCACTCACCACTCATTCCAGTAGCATTCATGCTGAGCAACTGACATCAGCTCAGGACACATCCAGCAATTTATCATGCAATTTATAAAGGATTTGTTTTGTTTTTCTTAATACCACAGTTAACCTGAAGATGCAGATCAGCCTGTTTTATATTGTAAAGGATAGGCAGATTTAGGATAGGCAGACTTTCTTACATGAATAACTTCATGTTTATGCAATTCAACTTTATGGTACTTGAAAACAAATGGTTGAATACTCGTTCCTCTGGATCGCAGGACTTGAACATATAGCTTTTTCCCTCACCCATTCTACTCACGAATTCACATTTGTAAACACCACAAGGTGAGAATTGTAGCTCAAACTAGGAATATTTCAAATTGTTCGGTCTAATCTTTCACAAGTTACAAAGAGCAGTGAGGATTTTCTTTTACCCCTTTAGATCTTTTCTACGCAAAAGATAAAATATTCTTTCAATATCATAGTGCTTGAACTGCACTGGTTTAATTCATTCATATCAATTAAGTTAAAACATTTCTTCCCCTACAATCTTCCTGAGACGTGCAAAATGACAAGGTAGAGAGACCTGTTGCCAGGCTTTAGCTGATTTACAATTTATCAGCAGGGTCTCGGGCTTGCACCCCAACCATACATGTTTAATTCCTCCTCTTCTCCACCTGGGAAAAACTTACCCATATGGCAAGCAACTAATCTCATCTATGTGTATATTCAACAACATAGATGGGATCAGTCGCTTGCCATATGGGCAACTTCCAGGCTCACACCAGCGCCTTTGCACACCATGGAGCTACAATATGTTGTGCCTGCATGCTTCCTCCATATCTGATTTGGACAACTAGAATCCTGGTCACTGTGCATAAAGGAACGTCGACTGCCCGCTGGATGGTTTGACATAAGCCTGGTCTAACAAGGATAACTAAACAATGGGACCTTCTGACAAGCCAACATTCACGATTGCTCTCTTTTTAAATATTCCTATATTGGAGTTTGCTCACCGTTTCCCTGCTCCAATGAAGATACTCATTCATCCTAGGTAAGCTCCATGTTCAATCAGCGGCTCTCTAACACTTTACCCAGTGATCATCCCTCATAAGTAATCCTTAACAGCCAATGGCTTGAAGGCTAAGCACAAACAGGGAAATCATAGCCATTTCCACTCCTATCCACACCTGCGGTCGACAAACGTTGACTTCGAGAAGGACACTGATCAGGGACATAAGCGACCTTTCCCCCTTCCATGATCCAAAGCGACTCTAATGCTACTTTTATTGAGAACATCCAACTCATCTCATACAGGGATTACAACCTGGGACTTTATTGGTATGTGTGGCTCAATGGGATATGCCTTTCCCAAATGAACAATTGGCAGAACCAAAACCTCAATGCTCTACCGCAGCCTGAAACATGTCTGCACACCCAGTTCCCAATCTGAAAAGAGAAAATCAAATCACATGTAACCCAATCCTGGGCTGATCCAAAGGGTGAAAGAGCAGCTCTGTCCTTTTTCATACAGGATCAGTAAAGCATATAATGCATGGTTTAAAATGGCTGCAAGCATCCCAGAATCTTCACTCATCTGTTAACATTTTCAGGTCTTTGTGGACCTTGAAACTTGACAAGTAAACAGAGACAGAGGGTTTAAACTAAAGTCTGTGGTCCAGCTTGACAAGAGGTTTGCTCTCGAGAAGGTCAGGATTAGAAGCTTGCGAAAAGTCTTTTTTTCCCCATTTGGAAGGAAAACAAACAAAAATAGGATTTTGATATGTTAGCTCAATACATACAGACACAGAGAGGATTTCTTATGTGTGGTGGGTGGAGGGAGGAAAGAGGGAGCAGAAAAAAGGGAGAGAACAAAGGTGATCCATGTTGCAACAATGTGAAGGCCACAGAAGCAGGACTCCTGGTTTAATCACACAAGCATGCGGTGGGGAGGGAGGGACAGGCGGAGGTGGAGATCATGCAAAGTAGCAGAAAATACCTGTACCGAGCCACCATGTCTGTCAGCTGCCAGGTGAGCTCGCAAGTGTTGGGGATTGGCCTGCTGATTGCACTGAGCGTCCCACGCTCCCCTGTGGTCTGACGACTTGTCATTTTTTTTTATTTTTATACAACATGCAAGGGGAAGGAAGGAAAGGAGGCAGAAAGGACGGAAGGAAAGGAAAGAAGGAAAGACGGAAGGTAGGAAAAAAAGAAAAAAAATGCCAACAAATCATTAAAAACTTCATGCTGTGGCACGATTAAAACCAAACTTATTTTAAAATAAACACCAGAAAATAATAAAACACAAGAACAGAATACAGATAAACTAAGACGGTTATTGTACAACTAGCCGAATATTAACATTCATGCATCAAATGAAACAATAAGAACTATAAAGTCCTGAAACTTTATTGTAATAACGGTACTTAATCGCCGGGACTGAAGAATGACCAAATCTGATTTTAGTACCTTCACAATTAATCCTTATAATTAAATTCATCCTCACAAAGAAACCCATCTGACTAGTTAAACAGATTTCTCTGCATTAAGAGCAATATCACTTAATTCAACAAAAAGTTGTGGATATGTAAATGCTGGCTAAAGGAACACTTAAATCACCTACTAAAAATAATAATCCACCTTGATCCGGATTATGAATTTTGTTTTTACAGGAAGGTTTACTTTTTAAGATCTGTCTAAAGCAGTTTCTGACTGTATGTATTCAAGGGGCTAGATAGCAACTTAGATAGGCTATAGCAACTTAGGAAGCTAAATTTAAAAACAGAATTTGCATCAAACCCGCACTATTTTAGCATTCATATTTTTCTAGTTCTTTTAAAATAATTTGGTGAATTTATGTCCATGATGAAGAATTTCAGTACTGAGCAATGCAATATTCATACTCTATTTGCATAGTTTCAAAAGAAATATGGGGTGCTAAATGTAGATTAAAGTTTCCTCTACATTTCTCTCAGAAACTCAATCCAACCTCACCACAGCATACTAATGGCACACTTTCATCATCCACAGCAGCCAACCATGTTGCCTCTCCCAGCAGAACATAAATTTTAGTGATAACAAGAATTAATTCTAAGCAGGTTGTGCTATGGACTTGCACGCATTGAGACCTGCATTGGATTATCCAAAGTTATGTCACTTAACCTTTGGAGACGGAGTGAAGAGACTTTTAGGCCCGGTGTCGTGCTCCAATACTGTCAAGCGCTCTCGGACACTACCCTGCATGAGGGGTGCATATAAATGCAAGTTGTTATTCGGGCTAGATTCCGAACACCAGTCTGAGGTGAAAGGAAAGGATACTAACTTTCTGCGTCATCCAATTCTCTACATTTTCTAATTCCCTTTCATTAACCCATGGAGATTCTGATGTTCATATTGGGTCCAAGATTTACCACTATGCCGACACCGAATGGGATGTCTGCAACATTCAAATCCATATAACAGGTCAAAGTTATCCCGAGTACATTCCAGTCAAAGCTCTATGTGGGTTTGTGGCAGGGAAGGATTTAACTTAGGTTTCCAGGATACAGTTCACAACAGTTTTTTCCTTCACTAATATTAAGCAGTGTCACTTTATTATATTTCAGTGCTACACATTAAGCAATTTAATTATCCTTATGATGTTAACTACAAAGCAAATGCAGTGTCAGAAGAGAATGCACTTTTGTCAAATTAGTTTGCATCCAGAAAAGTTCCATGATGGCTTTTGACAATAAAGGATCCTTCAACACACATCACTGAAGGTATGGAGGTAATTTCACACAGGCAGTCTTTTGTTTTTGCCAATCATTTTCAAGGCTGCAATTTTCCCTATCAAAAATGACTTGAGCATCTATCATTTCAAAGTAACACTTTAACAGATGTTAACGGCTGGTAAACAATGTATTTAAACAAACGGTCATGCATGTACTACTTGCCTCTCAAAAAAACTCTTCCAAACCCAGGGTAAGAAAATCGACAGCACTTCTGTGTAACCAACAATTGATACACTTACTCTACATCAAAAAATTTGTGACAGAAATTGAATACCACAGCTAAAGCTACTGAAATGTAACACCATTTATAGAAATCTAATCAGTGATGGTCAGTCACAGCAGCTTTTAAGAACTGTAGACTTTTCTGGGTTTTGAAAAATGAGTTGAAACGGTTGCTGAGATATTCTAAAAGGTTTGCAATATGACTATCATACTCTTTGAAAAATATTTCAGCACATCTTCAGATGAATATGAATTCCAAAAAACACGTGGATTGCCAATTCACTTTGCGGATCTTTTCTAGGAAGCTTAACACATAGGAAAATTAGCACTCACACTCACACAGCAATCAGCCCAGTTACTGCGCTCATAGTCTTTGCACATGTTTAAAATGAGCTATGGTGTGCCTGAATGACTCAACTTTTAGTGCACCTCCTGCCGTTTGTGGCTGTTGTTGAACAGACAGAAGCTGCGCACCATGCCAAAATGGCTCAGCTCCTCTGCATATCAATCTGCTCATAAATAAAAAAGCCAGATCTTGTTGATATTTCTTATTCAATTCTCTACCAGGAGCTGTTGCAACTTTTGCACAAAACAGTGTTCCATGACCTGTTAACATGTCGTCGTGCACACAGGTCAGAACAATGACATTGTATTTTAGTGAGCAAGCAAAATTGATAATATCAAAAAAAATCATCACTTCTCATCTGATATCAACACATGTTTTAGACGAAAACGTGAAATAAAAAAACCCAATCAGATTTAATTATTTGGTCTGTCAAGTGGTTAGCCTGTCAGCATTAGTACTTGCTAACACAACGGATGAATGTTAGGGGAGACATTTCTGAGCAGTAAGTGTGACATAGCTTGGCAAATCGACTAAGCACTCTAAGCTGCATTTATTCTCTAGTCACATAACCAGACCAGGTAACTGTCACTCTTAATTAGTGATACTTAGCATGTCTGTTAATATCAAAATAAATGAAAAATGGACAACATTGTCAGTAATGCTGTGTTAAAAATAAGAAAATTAGCCACATTAGCTTTGTTAGTTAAGTTAGTACTCGTGTAACACAATATAAAAACAGTATCATGTCAAGTTGCTCTGCACAACAACAGATTTGATGGAACTATTGTAACTTCCTTATGATCAACATCATATCTGATACAACAATAAGAACTTTCTTATTTTATGATATTCTCATGAGAATATCATAAAACTCTTGATGATTAGGCATCTTAAGAATATGCATTTGATCTATCAGATGAATGTAGGACACTCAATCATTCGCCACAAAAATATACAGTCAATTCGCTTTACAGTATATCCTGTGAAGTGACTTGAGACGTTTCAACGACATTATAAGGTGCTATATCAAATGCGAGTGTTATTATTATTATTTGTTTCACATATTTAAGGATATTCACATTTGCCTAGTGTTGATGCTAGGTCATGGGATTCATGTCAAAAAGCATACATTATAATTGCACAAGGACAAAAGGAATAACAGCATCATAGTTCCTGACTCAGAACTCCCCAACGGGGTCCTTGCATTTTAACACATCACTCTGGTTTTCAATAGAAAGTATCAGACCTCACTTTTGCAGAATCCATCAATAAAGTGGGTAAGATTATTTGTAGAACTGAGCAGATTCACAGCTCACCAAGCACATAGGGTAACGTTGATAACGCTGCCAGCTTCAAATAACAAACCAATTGTCTTTCAGATTCATATAACATCACAAGAGTTTGGGCTGAAGTTGACGCCTCATTTCATCCATCCTGAAAACCCACAAACACTTCCCTTTACACCATCAAGCAGTGTTCTAAATGAGGCTTGCGTCCAACCACTCTTAATGGTAATACGTTCCAACGATTGATTAACTTCTGTGTAAAACAATACTTCCTGGCTCAAATCACAAATTTGCTCTTCATAACCATTAACCTATGACTTCTGTCCAAGCTGTCTTGACATATGTTGGAAGTATTAGACAGAATGTTCTATCTCAGGCGTTTTATAAACCTCCAGAAAGATCCGTCCCCAATGAGAAGCCTTTTTCTAAGAGCCCTAACAACACCAATTTAAGATGTCAATAAGCAATGGAAATTGACAGAGGAAATACAGAGCAATATGGTCTATATCTCTGCATTTTAATACTGTAAATACAGTCTAGAAGGTACAATCTTATGTTAACTAACTCAACATTTGACAGAACATTATAGAATCATAGAAATTACAGGACAGAAGAAGGCTATGCAGCCCATCAACCCAAGCCTGTGTTAGCACATCCACTGGAAATAACTACTCTATTCTTCTACCCTTTTATATTGTTTACCATTTCAGTTAGAACAAAACGAACCTCAGAAACTGACTTCTAACAATAACTTGCATTTAAATAGTGTCCTTCATACGAGTAGCGTGTGAGCGCTTAACAGCACCGTAGCTTAAAATATAACTTCCAAAAGATATTTTACAATTTCCTGTTACTCAGGTAGATGTAAAGGGCCATTATTATTTCAAAGATATGTGGTGTCTTACTGCTGGTTTACATTCCCCTCAAAATCCAAAGTTTCAAAAGGATTGGTTGCTCAACTCGTTGTTGCTTATGGGACACTTCTGGTACAGATTAGCTGCCATGTTTGCCCATATTACATTCTAATCTTTTCTACTTTGCTTTCAGACATGTGCTTTTATGCGAAAGGCACTGTATAAGCACAAGTTATTACTGTTTATTAAAATGTATAATGAATAAATTAAATCAGTTGATGACCGTCTTAATCTGGTCATTAATGAACAGAACACTGCCTAAAGCAAGTTCTTAACTCAATAGAAGTTTGAAGCGAAAATGGGAAATCTCACAATCGGTCTGCCACAATCTTGCATCTAGTCAACTCTACACCTAGGCATATATGGAAGAAATGTAGCTTTTCCAGCAATGCATTTTCTTCAGTGCAGTCATACAGTGGATGCTGTACAGAAAGTTACAGCAGAGAACACAACTAACATTTCAAGACATACCTGATGTTTGGTTTGCTGCATTTTATCCCTGTGCTGATGGGAATCTCGGTTCACTGCTGCCAGAGCAGTATCTGGATGAATCGAACCAACTGGTGTGGGCTGTAATTGAAGGAAAACAACCATTACACTGAAAGGCAAAAAAATGCCAACCAGGCACAATCACAATAAAATTAACTTAAATGCTTGGATACAATCTTGACTGTTTTTTTAACTAAATTATGCCATTTTATCGTGAATGAAGTCCAAAATCATTCAGCCATCAATAAAATGCACCTCGAAAGAGCAGAATACAAACAAGCTTCAAACAGCAAAATCCAACCTAGCTCCAAATTCTATGCTTCACTTTTCAAAACACATTAAAAGACAGTGTAAGTTCTGGGAGTCAAGCAGAGGTACAATAAAACAGGTGGGTACAATATGAATATTTATTTGCCAACAAATATAATCACTACGCTTCACAATACATCTATGGTAATTCCTGTGAATCACTTTGAGACAATATGATACAAATTTATAGAGTGACTTTCATAGCAGAAGGACGTCCCAAAGTGCTGTGTGTGCAAAGATGTTTTGGTGTTTCAATGAGTTGCTATGTCAAATGAGGATTATTATGTTAAATTTATTCCTGTGGGAAAAGTAAAAACAATAAACACACAGAGGCAAAACATGGTCATCTCTCATTGCCAGAGTATTTCAAAAATGACCAATACCCACTTTTAATAATCCAAATACACCCAATTGCCACTTGTGAAATGTTAAATCAAGAATTTATTAAATTCTTAAAAAATTGCTAATTAACCAATATAGTTTTAGGTGCACTTTCCTTGGACTCTTCTTTTGACATTGAGAATAAAATGTGAAAGAGCTGAGAAACAAGCACTAAGCAATGTTTCCAAATACCATTCAAAAGGTTTGTGATCTCCCAGGCTTCAAGAAGTTGCGTCATCTTTTACACTTACATTTCCAAACCAGAATTCTCCCTGGAGGTTTAGAACTTTATTCACCCGGAAACACGTATCCTTGTGTGTGTCAGTGTGACTCAGTTGGTAGCAATCTTGCTTCTGAGTCAGAAGACTGTGGGTTCAACCTCCTCATCAGGACACTGAACTCACATAATCTAGGCTGAAACTAGAATGCAGCGCTAGGGAGCGCTGCCTCACTAGAGGTGCCGTCCTTCTAATGAGATAATAATAATCCTTGCATTTGCTATAGCGCTTTTCACGTCGGGAGGATGTCCCAAAGCGCTTCACAGAACACACTGTAAAGTGAATTGACTGTATATTTGTGGGCGAACGCGGCAGCCAATTGCGCACAGCAATGTCCCACAACAGTCTTAGATTGAAAATGACCAATTTATTATTGTTTTTGGTTTTGGAAGGATTATTATTAGGCTCTGTGTGGAGTAAGGAAACTTGCCCAAGGTTTCGCCCTCTGCCTGGAATTGAACTCAGGTCTCTCGCTTGCAAAGCGAGTGCTCTAACCACTGAGCTACAGGACTCCTTTTGTTAAACTAAGGTCCCTGTCTACCTGTCCAAGTGGATTTTAAAGATCCCATGGTACTATTCAAAAAGAGAAGGGAGTTTCTCTCGCTGTCCTGGCTAACAATCCCCCAAATAAAATTAGTCACTCACTTCATGGCTGTGCGTGGGACATTGCTGTGGATAAATTGGCTCCGGAGTTTGACAACAAAATACAGGTACTACACTTACAATAACTCCTATGAAGCCTTTTGAGGTCTTCTCCCAAAGTGAAAGGTGCTATACCAAATGTAAGGATTATTATTTACTTATTATCATCATCCTTTCAGCCAATTCATTTTTCACCACTGACCGGCATGATTGTAAATCTGATCAAACTTTCAAGCTGTTACGTCTGTTAAGTTATTCTCTTACATTAAGGGTCTGGCAGAATATTCTTTGAAATGTTTTGAAGGCCTGATGGAAACTAATGCTGAGTGGTTCGCAAAAGATCATTTAGTTCTTCTATGAATGCCAGGTTGATAAAACATTTAACGGAGCCATAAATTCACAATGGGGATGCAGTGAGTTTCCTGCTTCATTTATAGCCAGTCAAGCTGCAGTGAACAAGCTCATTAAATTCTGTGCTTACAGTGCTTTTAAAGTGTAATATTTTAAAGAAAAGCATGTCATATATCACAGCTGGGAATGGATACAAGTGCCATTATTAGGAGGGTAAAAGGTTAGATGAACTTCCAGATGGAGAACAAGTTAGAAGTTCAATAACTGACGGCAAATTATCCACTTGAGTTGAGATAGAACAATAAGTAAAATTCACAAAAGTGGTATCAGTCTGGACCATTAACACTTAATATGAATTATGCAAAGTCTGGGTTGTAGGCAAACTGTATAAGTTGTATAAAATCTGATCTAATCAATGATCTACACGGCACAAGCGTAATTCAATACAGGTGGTACCTGGGATTTATCTGTGATGAACTTTCTAACCAGTGATCATGAACACAGTGTTAAGCTTGCCTGGTAAGAGCAGTGTTGCAGTAGCCTAAGGGCAGGATACCTATACTCTCCACGTGTCACATCGGCTGCAAGGCTTTGAAAAAACAATGAGGAAGAGGAAAAAAGAAAATACGTGTCTGCATGGAACACCTTCCAAACATATGGATTCATGTATGTCTCACTGGCTAAAGACGAAATTACGGAGCATGGCTTGAGAACTGACAGCATATAAACCACAACATCAGTCTTCACTGAAGATGTGATATCCACTGAACAGTTTGAGATTATTATCTTAGCATCCACCATAGGTGATGACAAAGTCATCTTAAGATTGTCATGTGACCACCGGTATCCCCTATTATATCACCCTGTATCTCCTATTATATCAATCTAACTATTATCACATTATTTTAAATAAAATGTTTAGATCCTCCTCTTATCATGCACTTTGTACCAAATTTGGATCCTGGGACTACAGCTTAGCTTCATTAACTGCAGTCTCTCTCCATGAACTCCCAACTCGACTGTTCTCCGTGGTGTTTGTCAGGTGGTCTCAAACTACCAGTCTAAGATTTAGGAAACAGGTTTAATAAAATTTGGTAGTAATGTTTATTTTAACTAAATTGGTTTTAAATGAGGAGGTAGATGAGCGAGGGCTAAAGAGATTGTCTAATTTAAATGGAATAATATGATAAATAGGAGAACAGATACACAAGACTTCAATAAGGAGCAGCAAAATTAAACTCCCAAAATATCCTTGTCTGGGGCAAGCCCATATTTAGGTTTGAACAATCTGTTCCAGATGCTGTTAACGCATATTTTTTTTGCACTGGTAACTTTAGCTGCTTGTCAACCACAGCAATAGCCAGGCACCATTTTGTGAATAGCATGAAATAAAATAAGACCAACCACAACAGGCACTGACAACACAAAATTTATCGGTAAGTGACCAGGAGTAATAAAACAATGATCAAGAATAATTTTACAGGGTACCTGGTCCTTGTGTCATATGAAAAAAGGTAAGAATAGCAACAACAACTTATACTTATAAAGTGCCTTTCATGAAGCGAGAACATCTTAGGAAGTACTGTACAAAGGGTGCCCCCAAAAAGAGGGAGATGGGAGGTAAAGTGGAGGAGTGCTTGGGGAGTTACTGCAGGAAACTGCCGAAGTAGGATGGAACAAGGTCATTGAAAAACTTCAAGATGAGGATAAGGATCTTGAGGTTGATGCTTTGGGGAATAGGATTATAGGAAAAGAGGAACAAAAGGAGATCATTCTGCATATTCCACCTGTAAGGAGCCAGGAGAAGATGGGAATGATAGGCTCACAGAGCCTACTTTAAACAATCCTGTTAGAACAGGATTTTCCAATAATCCAATAATTACTTGGAATTCTACAGATTCAAATATTATTATTATTCATTCACATACAAATAAATATATTGAAGCTCCTTACATCACGTGTAATTGATGGGAAATGAAAATGAATGTTATGTAGGCAATTTCAATTTTTTAATGCTCAAATCAGACCTTAGATTTCATATAATGTAATGAGATGCCAGTACGACTTAGGTTAAAGTTAAAAATGACAACTTGCCCTCATATAGGTGCCTTTAACGAAGGATAACGTCTTGAACAAAGATAAAAGAAGCTAGATTGTTCTGCCTTTCAGAATGTTGTACAAGTAACACTAAACTGAATTTTCATCTCACCAGTAAATGGGAAAATACACTTTGCGTATATACCCTAGTATAGCTGGAGTTTGAGAAGCCTTAGAATAATAATAATCCTTGCATAATCTGATATAGCGCCTTATCACGTCGTCGAGATGTCTCAAAGTGCTTCACAGAATATACTGTAAAATGAATTGACTGTGTATTTTGTAGCTTTACATGCTACAGCACACTGCATCTCATATTTACATTTGAGGCCAAATAAAGCTTTGTCTAGATTGTTACACTCATCCAGACATATTCATAAAACATTTTTAAATTATATTTTGCCACAAAAACTGCACTCCCTTTAAGAAAACATTTTTAAAATATATATAAATAAATGAAGGATTAATCTTACAAGCTGCTTGCCGAACCAGTCATATTCATAATCGAACATGTAACCTTTCCGATCGAATAGGTCTGTGAAGAGTTTCTTTAGATAGTCATAGTCTGGCTTCTCGAAGAAGTCCAATCTTCTCACATAGCGTAAGTAGGTAGACATTTCTTCTGAAAATACAAAATTCTAATTTCAACATCTACTCTGCAGTCAACAACCAAGATCCTTTAAAACACCTTAAAAGATCCATTCCTATTACGTGTGTGAAATCAAGGACTACTGTATTTCAGTCAGCTTGGTGTGATTATTCGGGGAACCTAGAACCAATGCATGGATGAAATGGAAATAACTGATGGAAAACCATTCAGCATATTGTTCTACACCCATTCAAGAAGTAAACATAGGAACTAAACTCACCATTGGTTCACACATGAAGAATGGCCACTTCAGTTCTATGTGCATTGGAGCTTTCCTGTACTTGCGAGGTGTAGCAAAGCTTCTGATGCTTATGGGACTGTACCTCTGCATGTATGTATGTATATGTTATTATTCTGGGTATCTCAGCCAGTTGAAATCCTCAACTCTATATAAATGCAATTTGTTTTTCTTCTGTCATCTTCCTCTCTTGAACGTAGTAAGAAAGTCGATTAATCTCTACACTTGCTACATTGATGCAAGATGTTAAAATTAATGTACACTGAGCTTTTCTGCTCCCTTCCCTGCAGACACAAATCATGCGAGTGCTGATTCAATAACTCAACAGATGTCAGCAGCACATTTCTGAACACTTTAGAGTGCTTTCCGCAAGGTACAGTATCACCTCATCGGCTGCCTATCAATATTGGCAAATCTAAGCCGTTTAAAAAGGGCAAGATACCTAGCAGATTTGAGCATCTATGAGGTCTCCCAATAAATGTAATTTACCTGGAAAATTTTCACACAACACTTCAACCGGCGTTGCTCGCTTCGTGTCCCCGATCTTCTGATATCTTTCTTTTAATGTGTCCGCCTGGGAAAAATAAACTCAGCAGTTTTGTGAGCCAGTCAATATTTCTCCTCCACTAACAGTTACAAAAATACGATACTAAGAATACGTAGGAATGTAATTTCTACATCTTGCATTACACAAATTATAAAACAGATTAGGAAAATAAAACTACCTTTAAGCCTTGCCAAGGAAGACTGCCTCGGAGGAAATACATGAACATGTGACCTAATGCTTCCAGATCATCTCTTCTACTTTGTTCTGTAAAGGAAGCAAAGGCTGTTAAATATCTTAAATGTTATAATTTTCCCTCATCAGTGATATATTCCATCATCTCCACCATCGTGGAGTCCTGTAGCTTAAATGAAGTGTACTTTAATTTTAACATCATCGCCTTGCAAGTGAGAGGACCTGGGTTCGATTCCCCGGCAGGGTGAAACATTGGGCATGCCTTTTTTTCACCTAGCAGTAAGCAGGAACCCAGTTGTTAGTCGATTGGCGGATCAATGGGGGTAATAATCCCATTAAAAAAAATTCACGACTGTTTGTGGACACTGCCGCATTTTACCCACAAAATATACAGTTAATTCACTTTACAGTATATTCTGTGAATTGCTTTGAGGTGTCTTGAATATGTGATAAGGCGCTGTATCAGATTATTATTGTCTGAAGTCCATTCAAACCAGTAAGTCACACATACGAACCAAAGTCTATGTTGCGTTAGGAGACTTCAGCAGGTGGAACGCTACAACGGGCCTCGGTAACCTTTGATCGGAATAAATAATCCTTACATTTGATTAACACAACAGCGAGATATTGAAAATGATTCATTAGATTTTATTTGCAACATTACCAGACTCCACCACTGCCTCACCCCTCAGGCTGCCGAAACCCTTACCCACGCATTTGTCACATCAAGGCTCGATTATGTAAACTCCTTCCTCATCGGCCTTCCCAACTCTTCCCTTCACATGCTGCAGATCATCCAAAACTCTGCAGCTCGTGTACTCTCACGCACCAGGCTCCGTGACCCCATCACTCCCACCCTCGCCCGACTCCATTGGCTCCCCATTCCTCAGAGGATCGAGTTCAAGATCCTCGTCCTCACCTTTAAGGCCATCCATGGTCTTGCCCCTTCCTACCTCTCTGACCTGCTGACTCCCTACCAACCTGCCCACTCCTTCCATTCAACGGGCATCGGTCTGCTCCATGTCTTCCACCCGACCCGCCCGACCATCGGTGTCCGGGCTTTCCGCCTTTTTGCCCCCACACTCTGGAACTCCATCCCACGGTCCCTCCGCCTCACTTCCTCCCTTGCCTCCTTCAAGGCCGGTCTCAAGACCCTTCTCTTCGACCGTGCCTTTGGTCTCTCTCCCACCTCTTTGCCTTCCCTCAACCCTACACCACCCCTCCCCCATGCTCGGGCCCCGATACCTGACTGTTCAGCCCTTTGGGACGTCCTCCCGATGTGAAAGGCGCTCTATAAATGTAATTTTGTTGTTGTTGTTGTATATGACACACGTAGGAACAGGAGGAGGTCATTCTTCCCAACCATGTCTGCAGTCTGTCTATGATTACAGTGGTGAGACATCACCTTGTTGACGAGTATCAACAAGATAATAATAATCCCTCCAAAAAAAACAAAAAACAATAATAAAAAAAATTGGTCATTTTCAATCTACGACTGTTTGTGGGACTTTGCTGTGCGCAATTGGCTGCTGCGTTCGCCCACAAATGTACAGTCAATTCACTTTACAGTGTGTTCTGTGAAGTGCTTTGGGATGTCTCCCGACGTGAAAAGCGCTATATCAAATGCAAGGATATTATTATCATTATTATTGTGTAGTGACTGTGTATTTGTAGGCAAACAAAGTAGGGTGAAGCAGAGGATGTCTGATGACCAACTGGCAACTACCCTCAGGGTAACTGGAGCCTCCGCAGAGTTCAGCCTGCTCCAAAGTGGCATACTTGGTAGAGATTGTTCCCACTCAGCTCCCACTTACTCTGCAAGTTATGGGCTAATGGATAAAGTGGTCACAGCTGAACGTGCAGCAGGAAGCTTGCCTGACAGTATTTGCACAATGTTAGGCTATGCAGTTTTAGCTGGTTCAACTCCGGTAGTACCCCAATGAACACTCTGAGATCCACAAGCCTTGGCTCCTGCTTTCCGGAATAAGGCAACGTGAGACCATCCCTCCAGGGAGATAGTGCGCATTCCATTCCAGACACAGGGACATTTCCATGTGCAGGTGGCATACATATGTGGAACACTGTTTAGGTAAACATAAGCATGGCAATGGGTTTCTGCAAATGTCAGACACCCGGTTGACCAGAAAAAAAGAATTAAATAAAAAGATGAGAACTGGCTGAAGAAGACAGCCAGAAAGGCACAATCAAGCAAATCCAGTGCCCTGGGTCCAGCTTCTTGGACGTCACTAACCCAAAGTTTTGATGCTCAAGTTTAATATATATGGACTCAATTTTGTTAAAATAAATATAAATTTCTTCGTAATGAAGCACTGAGAATATTTTATGAAACTGATCGCAGGGGAGATTTTCCTTTAAATGGGACTGAAAGATGTAGCACAAGCTGCAAACTCCGCGGTGGAAAACCCCATATTAAATTATCTAAATCTGGATACATTCATTTCCAGCAAAGCATTCATTACTGTCAGCAAAAATAACAAGAGAAAACACAAATGTTGGGAAACTGAAACAGATTTCGGAAAATGCTACATGTCCACAACAGGTCAATCAACATCAAGCTCAACTCTTTGTCATGACTCTTCATTGGAGCCATTTGTTCCCTTTTACGTTCTGACTGACATACTAACCGCAGGTTAAAAGTGAGAAGTCAGTGGAGAACAATTCAAATTTCATTAATTCCCCCTGAAATTCTGTTTAAACACAAAGCTGGAGTCCTGGAAACCACTACCTTGGTCTTACTGGAAACAGACAAGTCTAACATACAGTGCAGTGCATAAGGCATGTTATAATGCATACGGTCAGTAGTTCTGTCAAATTCACCCAGTTGCTTTACGACACAAGCTATAAATGATTTACGTTAACTTGTAAGATCAAGTTAGAATGCAACTCTGCATACTGTCTACTTTGGTTTTTGTGGGCCTGTGTTATCCAGAAGTAGGTTATGACTGGCTTCCTACACCATTAAATGACTAATTTCTTGGTCATCACTTCCTGTGTATTGCGTGCGTGCAGAGAGATAACATGAGGACCTGGAAACTGACCATTTTTGGTGTTGTATTTTTAAACACGGTCCCCAATATATATTGATTGCATTATAACACAGCAAGTAGCTTATCTAATTAATGTGCTAACAATTGGACTTTGAACTTCACTAAATTTGCAAGCAATCTTCAATCAAGAGTTACAATATCGGGCAAAAATACAAAAGCAATGCTTGCTTAATTTTCAAAAGTTAGTCCATCAGAAACATCATCCAATCAGTAAACTTTAACCTGTAGACTACCAATATATCTCCGCAGACTCCATAGGTCACCCATTCTGGGTATTACTCACACACTGTAATTCCCCTACCGAGTAGTGAACAAAAATTGTGGAACATGGTTTATTGACCTTTAAAAACAAATCCCAATTCTGGAAAACACAGGTTCTTTATAATCAAGTCCTCAGACTTCTCTTCCCTGCTCTCCTCACTCAACCTTTCCTTACACATAAACTCCCCCACTCACAGTCACGGCCACCCACTCGATTTGGTGATCACCCGGGGCCTCAGTGCCTCGGATGTCACTATTACCGACAAGGCCGTCTCTGACCACCACTTCATCTCCTTCACCACCTCCACCCCACTCCACACCTCCACCAGACCCACCACCATCTTCTACCGCCCTTGGAAGAAGTTACCCCCACAATCCCTAACCGATGCCTTGGAGTCCTCTGAACTCCTCTCCCTCTGGCCTTCAACCCTCACCGACCCCTCTTCTCCTCTCTCCCTCCTCCACAATACCCTCTCCTCCACACTCGATACTCTTGCCCCCATCACTTCCCGCACTGTCTCCTACTCCCGCTCCTCCCCCTGGTACACCACCCACCTCCGCTCACTGAAGAGCCAGGTGCGGGCCGCTGAACGCACCTGTGTCAAATCTGGCCTAACGGTCCACCGACAAATCTGGCTGGACCTCCTCAAAATTTACCGCTCCACTCTAGCCTCGGCCAAGTCGTCCTTCTACTCCAGGATAATCCTGGAGGCGAAGAACAACCCCAGGCTACTGTTTTCCACCACAACCCGACTCCTCCGTCCCCCCCGCCACCCCGCGCAGGTCATCTCCTCCAACCTTCACTGCGAGGAGATGCTGGATTTCCTTGAATCCAAGATCAAGGGAATTCGCTCCGCGGTCACTTCCCCTCCAACATCCACCAACCCCCCACCCCTTCCCTCCCACACTCCGACTCCTACCCATCCTCCCCTACACACTTTTGTACCCGTTTCCCCACCCTCTGTCACCAAACTCATCCTATCCCTAAAACCAACCACCTGCTCCCTTGACCCCATCCCCACTCCACTCCTTATCTCCCAGCTCCACTTTCTTGCCCCACATATCACTGACATCATAAACCTGTCCCTCTCCTCTGGCTCTGTCCCCATTCCATTAAAAACTGCCATCATCACGCCCACCCTGAAAAAACCCTCCCTTGATGCGTCGCAGCTATCAAGCTACCGGCCCATCTCCAACCTCCCCTTTCTCTCCAAGGTCTTGGAAAGAGTTGTCGCCTCCCAACTGCGCTCTTTCCTTTCCACCCATTCACTTTTCGAACCCCTTCAGTCAGGTTTCCGTGCTGCCCATAGCACAGAAACTGCCCTGGTCAAGGTCACCAATGATATCCTGACCATCTGTGACCAGGGCTCCCTCTGTCTCCTCGTCCTCCTCGACCTATCGGCAGCATTCGATACGGTCGACCACGCTATCCTACTCCACCGCTTGTCCTCCCACCTCAACCTTCAAGGCACTGTCCTTGAGTGGTTTAGGTCGTACCTTTCTCACCGTCTTCACTTTGTCTCACGAATGGCTTCTCCTCCACCCCCCGCACTGTCTCATGTGGTGTCCCTCAGGGCTCTGTCCTCGGTCCCCTCCTCTTCACCCTCTATATGCTCCCCCTTGGTGACATCATCCGCAGACATGGAGTTAACTTCCACATGTATGCGGATGACACCCAACTCTACCTTTCCTCCTCTACTCTCAACTCCACGACCACCGATGTCCTGACAGCTGCCTGTCCGA